ACAAAAGTACCAGAGAGCCGCATATTAATTTAAATGTGCGAAATATGACACACGACAGAGGCGCCTCTAGTGGCTGTTTTCGGCATAACGTTACACGGATGGATGGACACGCGTTCAATGGGTTATATATATAGATATGCTTCAAATGGTACCACTCTTATGCGACTCATATTGATCAACGCGAGTGTGGTCATGTGTGGACAGAAAACAAGTACAAGTTTGTTCGGCGGCTCTATCTCAAACTCATAAGGCTGTGGTGAAATGAGGTGAGATGAAATTGGAGTTTATGTCCAAAGAGCCGCAAACATCTATGCAAAGAGCCACATGTGGCTCGCGAGCCGCTAATTCCGACCCCTGGTCTAGTGCAGGTTTGATCCATTATGATTTCAAACCTGGCTCATTGATCACAACAGAAATATACTGCAACCAAATGGACGAAATGATGCAAAAACTTAAAGAAAAACAGTCTAGATTGGTCAACAGATCGACTCCTATCTTATTGCATGATAACACTAGACCACACACTTCACAAATGACTGGCAAAACTACAGGAATTGGAGTTGGAACTTCTTCATCCTCCTCCATACTCACCAGACCTAACCCCCACTGACTACCACTTCTTCCGCAATTTGGACAACTTTTTAATAGGAAAAGAATTTAATTTCGATAATGCTGTAAATCTGGCCTTCCAGGAATTCATTGACTCTTGTCCACCAGGGTTTTATACCACCGGCCTGAACAACCTGCCGCTTAAATGGCAAAAGTGTATAGAAAATATGGGTGCATACTTTGATGAATAAAATAATTCCTTATATTTATCAACCGACTTTGCTTTTTTTTTCCATAAATTTCATCCTTGACAACCCAATATATGTATCTAATAATATAATATTCTATATCTGTACATAGAATATGTAACTCTATACAAACAACTTTTTATTTATTGCTTGAATGTACAGTACTTTACAGTACATTTTTACAGCAACTATATTCAAATTCAAATTTTTTACAACTTTCCATAAATTGTAATGGCTATAAGAGTAACTATTAAATTTATAATAATTTTTTAGTTTGTTCATTTACATTCAAGAAAATAAATTACTGGCCCTGCTGAACATTGGTGGGTTTCATTTCTTTCTTATTGTTTTTGATTGGTTACAGTTGGGTCATCATTTAAAATAATTGATAATATTCAGAATATAATTATAGTATATGGTATGTATATTAGATTTTTTTTTATAATATAAATTAGGAATAAATTTTATGTCAATCAAAGTTTTCTTTCTCATTTTACATTTTTCTTTGTTTTGAATCATCTTTCTTTATATGACTTGGGAGAATGTAATTTTCTTTAATTGTCAAGTCAACATCTATCAAAATTAATGTTATTATTGTCATTAACATATCGCAAAATATAAAGAATGACACAACAACAATTTATATTATATATGATTAAGAAATATGTTTGATTTTCTTTATTAAATTCTTTTGATAAGTTGAAAATATGAAGAATTTACACAGTTAAATTTAACTGTAATTTTATAACTTTAATTGCATGAAGAATACTTAAATTATTTTAGCATAATTAGAATATAATTAATAAGCATTAGAATGATGTATAAAAATTTTAAATATTTAAAATTATAAATTTATTAGTGTTTAAAATTTGTAAGTCTTGAAACAAAAGTCATGCCATACAATTCAATGATTCAAAATACAGTTTATTTAGATTAATTAAAAGTTTTATAGATACAGTGGAAACTTGATTATCAAACTTGATGGGACAAAATCTTTTCGATAAACAAAATTTTGGATAATCCAGAAACTTGTTTGTTTTTATTTTTTCGGTACATTAAGCACTGTGCATTTAAAGTTTTGTGAACTATAAATAATGTAATGCAATTACTGTATTTGAAAGTAAAATAATTTACTCAAAATCTAGCATAACGTTACATGAGTGACCTAGTTTCATGGTGCTACAATTGACAAATGACTTCAACAACCCAAACAACTGGGTATACATAAATTAAGTACCTAAAATAACAAAAATCCAGCAGGAAAATGTTAATAAATAACACTAGCAAATGTTTTCACTCATGTTAAACAGTCATTTCTAAGCTAATGATCTTCAAAAACTTGGATGCACATGATAAAACAAATGGTTCAAACATAATAAGTTCCTACAATTAGTGGTTGCTGTCCACATGATACACTGAATAATATAGGAGAGAGTTGTAAAACTGAATGTCATAGAACATCTTCCGCATCGGGAAGGAATCGGCCTTTTTAAAGTTGGTTGCCATATTTTTTCTAGCTGCTTTGTAAATCTCTATCTGCTCCAAATATTTAAGTTGCTTCTTGAGATGCAATGTAAAAGGCAGGATTGGTTTAAATTTAACATTTTCCTGCTAGATTTTTTGGTTTTTGGTGCTTAATTGATAGATTATGTAGTGATTTCCAGTTATATGAACAGTTTGGTCTCTGTGTATTATAGTCTATGGTATGTACAATGTTACATGTTGTTCTATTTTTTTTTTTTAAACTATTGATGGCTTTTAATTTTATTGCTACCATATAAATGCTTTAACTTCAAACAAACCAATATTCTTTGAATTTTTAAGTATGAACTGGAAGCTCCCAAATCAGTTAATGCTTCAAATGATTTGGGAGTAAAACAGCTGGTAATTTAATATCTAACTTGTGATCTAATGAAAAATAATGATAAAAATAGTTTGCAATTTTAATAAATTAAGAAAATTCATTTTGTTCTTTCAGGTGTAGTGTAATTAATTAATTTATGCCCTACTTGTATAACAATTTTATACATGGTTAAAAAAAATATAAAGGATAATTGAAGTACCAGTACATTACTCCAAAATATTTGGTAGATTTTTAATTTTGCATTTGGCTAAGTGTATAGAATTTTCTTCAAAGCAGTGTACTGTTTATAGATGCCAATGCATTATTATACTCTTATTTTCTACTTGGCTTATTCTAAGTCAAATAGAAAAAAGATAGTGTAAAGGCAAATATTTTAAAGTAAAAGTTAATTATATTTTAAATGTTGTGTTGTTTAATTTTATTCATCTATTCTATTGATAAACTGAAGAATTAAGCATTCAATAGATTAATAATATGATTAAAATATATTTGTGTTAATGGTGATTTATATTTTCACTGTATATCAAATTTTTTATAGTATTAATTATAATTATTGATACTTGCGGAATTAATTAGATATTAAAATTCAAAACAATGATTTTCTAAAATTTATGTTATTTCACGAATCTTTCTAATGAATATATTCATATATTTTCATATATATCAAATTGTGTGTTTTGTTTTCTGTTTCTTTATGAATCATATTCCTTATTGGACAGGTCACAGGAAGGAATGAATAATGAGAAACTGATATACACACGAATGATTATACTTATGGGATAGGCCTGTGGTTAATATATTTTTCTAATTTTCATTAACTGCAAATCTTACAAACAAAAATGATAATTAAAGTGCTGTTTTCTTAGTTTAGAGTTGCATTTAGAAGCGAAAACATCTTATTTTGTTTCAGAAAATAATAATAAAACTTGTGCTTGTATATAGTACTGATAATATTTGAAAATAGATCACTCTGTTTGTTTATTATCTATTTTTCTAAACATTTAAAGTAGAATAAATAAAATTAAAGGCATTTTTGGGTTATAATAACTTTGCTTGCGGATGCCAAACAACAAATTGATGTTGTTTACTTGGATTAGAGTCAAAATTTTTCACTAGTTTACACCTTTGGCACTTCCAAAAACTGCAATTATTTATGTACTATTTGGTGATTTGCAGTAGCATAAACTAGAACCGATATTAGGAGATGGCCCGAGTTCACCTCTCTAATATTATGTATGTGGACAGTGCTGTGGATGAAGAGTAAAACGCTTAGATGTTCAGATGTGCATGCATTTAACATGACTGTATCGAATCCAGATAAGTAGAAAAACCCCACAAATTTTTGGAGATACCAGTGCCGGGTGGTAAGCATTCCTCACCACCATTGTGGACCAGGCCGAACCCATACTGGTTTTGCTACATAAAGCCCTTTTACTGTCCAAAGAGCAGAAACAGTTAAAAAAAAGGAATGAAAATCATTTCATTTCAAATTCGTTTTATGGAAATATGCAAGGAGATGACTTAGTTAACTGAAATACTGGAGGAAGGAATATTGCAAAACTAAGTTTGAGTTTTGCTTTTGTAGTTCAAAAGCAAATAGCCTATCAAACTGTGAAAGTTTTGCAATATTCCTTCCTCCAGTATTTCAGTTTTCCTTCCTTGGTATTGCATTGTTAATTTTTATTTACTTAGGTTTAAACTAATTTCAGTAATAAATTATTATAAAATTAGAATTAGAATAATAATTCCAGAACTAGCAGCTCTTCGAAAAGTTTCATTTCTGCTTTTGGGGTGTTAAATATGTTAAATATTTAAATTTAGTGGCATACAATTAACATATAAGACGACAGACATTGTGTTTCTACTTGTTACATTTTTTTGGTTCTGCTACGCAGTTTATTTGTGACGTATTTTAAATTACTTGACATCGGGTGTATTGTCTAGTAAAGCGTCTTTAATACTGCCGAATAAGCCAGCCAATGATGTAACGCGTTTCATACGAAATGGGCTACGTCATCGACTCGCTTATTCAGCTGTATTAATTAAAGACCCTTTACTAGGCAATGCGTACATTGTATGGCTACAGATTACTGTATATTTTATTATTTCTTTTGTATTGAGAGAAAGCTGTAATGAATAATTGCGATTTACATGCTTTTGAGGCCCCATAAATGTGGGGTATCTTCCCATGACTTGCATGATAGGACTTATATATAACTATTGCCATGGCTTTTGTGTAATAAAATAACGAAATTAATAAATTTTAAAATAAAATAAAAAAATGATAATATGTAAATTTGAGTGCGTGACAATGAACTTATACTTAATTTATATTTCAGGGGCCGGTTTTGGATTGATGTACTTACCTTCAATCGTTAGCGTCACGTGCTATTTTGAAAAGAAACGTGCCTTTGCCACCGGTGTTGCAGTATGTGGCTCAGGAATGGGAACCTTCGCTTTAGCGCCATTGACAGAATATCTGGTAGAATCGTACGGCTGGAAGGGCTCTATGCTGATCATTTCCGGCTTAGTCCTCAACTGTTGTGTGTTCGGATCTCTGTTTCGTTCATTAGACACTAAACCATCCAAAAATCCAGAAAAATTAGAATGTAACGACGACTGGAGGTTACAGAAAGTACAACCGAACAACAACTATTCATTCCAGAATCACGAAATCGGAGGCAGCCATTCGGATTTGCACGCGAAAAGTAATTTACCTCTAACCAGATTTAAATCGGATATAATTCCAGAAGCGTTGGAAAGAGAACATTCATTAAAACAGAGATCTCATCTGGTACCCAACGGTGACAGCACCCCTCTGATAATGCATAAGCAACAGAATTCTGGTATACTCTATAGAAAAGATATCTTTTATAGTGGAAGCTTGCTCAATTTGCCAGATTATAAGTCCAATCCAAACATATACAGAGCAAGCATCGATATGTCTCATCAGTGTACTAACGAATCCGAAAAGCCAAACAGGTGTTGCCCCAGGGAGATGACCGATGCATTCTCGGAAATGCTTGATGCTTCTTTATTAAGAAACGTAATTTTTATAATGTTTGGTTTGTCAAACTTCTTTACAAACATAGGTTTTAATGTGCCCTATGTTTACACCAAAGTAAGAGCCAATGCGCTCGGAATTACCGACGAACATACCAGCATCTTGCTGTCCGTTATTGGAATCTCTAACACGGTGGGACGTGTTGCTTTGGGTTATTTATCCGACAGGAAGTGGGTTAATCGTCTGTTTCTTTATAATGCCAGTTTAACAATATGTGGTCTAGCCACGGCTTTCAGTTGTTACTGCACAACGTATACCACCCTCGTTATTTACTCTGCCATTTTTGGAGGCACCGCCGGTAAGTTTTATTTTAAAACGCTTCTTAATAGAATATACGATAAATTTTAATATTAAATTATTATTTATTTTTACTTCTTAGGAGCCTACGTCAGTCTAACATCTGTCATTTTAGTCGATCTTTTGGGATTAGAGAAACTAACAAACGCTTTTGGATTACTTTTGGTGTTTGAAGGAATCGCATGCTTAATGGGACCACCTATAACAGGTAATAAAAATATATTGTGAAATAATTTGCTTAATTAAATTAATTTTTTAAAATGTAATCATAGTATAATAATAATAATTCACTGGCGCAGCCCCATTGAACATATGGAATATATCTTCACACTGAAAATATTNAAGCGACGCTGAACGTCCGACGTACACGTTTTCGCGTTGAAAACTTCTGCCTCAACCTTGCTATTTTAATTCTTTCAAAAGAAACAATGAGGTAATAAAAATATATTGTGAAATAATTTGCTTAATTAAATTAATTTTTTAAAATGTAATCATAGTATAATAATAATAATTCACTGGCGCAGCCCCATTGAACATATGGAATATATCTTCACACTGAAAATATTGTACTGTACTTCGTTCATTTTATCCAGAGGCCCACCAGTAGCCAAGCGGTTCCATTCCCTAAACTCGTGGGTTCGCGCCTCGCCAGGACGACTGGCCATATGGAGTTTTCCGGGTTTTCTCTACGTCTGTAACGCCCGAATAGGGGCCAGTTACCCTTAAAAAACCGTCCGGAAGGCATCCCTCCCCGAGACAAGTCGCCCAGGTGTTGCGTTGCCGTAACTTTATAATACAAACAATTTATCCCAACAATCACACCAGATATACTGCAGCAAGAATAGGAACATTCGTAAATTGGGGAATTCCTCTGTTCCTATTTTTGATTCTCTTATCTCTTCACCTTCACGAAAATTGACTCTACGCCACTACTGATGTAGGCTAATTGTTTGTCTTTGAAAGTAGGCACAGAATTGCTAATTTTATACTAAATTACATCAGTGTGTGTGGAGCGAATATGTCCTTCCTCCATGGCATCACCAGCATCAACTCGTTAACACTTGTTAACGGGTGTTTGCCTGACTGATGCTGGTGATGCGTGTCACTTCGAATGTTCTGTGTATTGTATGAAGGCTTTTGAATCATCTCATTCGAAAGATATACTATTTTAAAGTAATGTTCTATTTTCCCCGTGTACTTTATATAACATTAAACAAGGAATTAATCGAAATCTTTTTATTTCAGGTTGGCTTTACGACGGTACAGGATCGTATGATCCCGGTTTCTATGTATCCGGATTTATGATAGCTTTAAGTGGTATCATGTTATTTTTTATACCTTGTATCAAGACAAAAACCTGCCAGGAAACTCCCGCAAATGACGAAGAGACTGCAACTTCGATCTAATTATTTTCATATTGTGATCTTTATGCATTTCTTCATATATATATATAATATATATATATATTAAAATAATATAGACTTTAATGTTTTTACTCTGTTTAATATATAAAAATTTTCTTAGAAGATATATAACGTTGATAAGAGAAAAAAAGGATAATTTTTCGATCGTTTATTCCATGTAAACTTATACATGAATTATATTTTGAAAGACCAATGGTTAAACACCATTCAGTTCAATTATTTTCTTTGCAAAATGCTATCTAAATAAAGTATTAAACTCTAAATTCTCATTGGTACCTTCGACCTTCCGCGTGTTTCCGTATGCAAATTTGGAGAAAGATTGTTTTTTTTTTCTAGAATTTAAAACATTGGGCGCCAGACCTTGCCCATAAATAACGTCACGTCCGTTTCTTTATCGAGAATTAGGAAGAAAAATGGTCTATCGACTACAAATGGTAGAGGACGAGCCCGTTGACCGCTTCTGGATAAGAATTGGAATACTGTCGAAGCTGCTGCAGTGGTGCCCTTTTCCGATACGTCGATGGCGGCCGTGTGTCTGACGCCATCGATTGCCAAATTTTGGTCACCGGCAAAAAAATCGGAAAAGTCGGCCTGGCCCCTCTGAAAAACTTGCCTCAATCCGATAGACTCGAGGGCGTTCATTAAATCGTAACTAGGACTCATGCGAAATTTGGGTAATTCCACGTGCATATTCCTATACCTGAGCTTTTTCTTCAATTTATGTATATTACCACTCGTCAAAACCGGTTCTAGAACTTTAAGACCAAAATACAAGTGATCCGGAAGTACTATCGTCAACGACACGTCCCTCATTTCACCGTATGGCAATTCTAGAATAGAACATTGCAGGTCTTCGTCAATGGCGTAAGGATATCTTCCGGTAATAGACATCATTTCTACTAAAGTCTCCTCTCCTAAAGATACCCTGAAGGGTCTGGATCGTGTTTTGCTCGGATCGAATGGCACGTGCCACGTGGCATGAAAATACACCGCATTGGCTATAATTAAACGAGTCTGGCTATCCACGCTGGAAGATGGTAAAACGTTCTTGATCTTATCCCTGGTGCGCTTTTCTATCCAATGATTGATCAGTAATCGAGCTTCTTCGGGATCGTTCTCGAAATCCACGTAACCGACATTCTCTTCCTCCAACGAGCACGGATTTAGTTCCAAACCACGCTGCAAATACATCCGATTGGCTAAAGTATATCCCGCGTGTTCGCGTATTATATCCTTATACACTTCCTTGATTTCTAGTTTATTCAATTTGTCTATACCCAAAATGGTCTCCAGTTCTATTCGAGTGCTGCTGGCTGATCCGTAATACGCGATCAGAAGAGCCGACCAAATTCCAAAGGGGCTAATCAGGATCCCTCCTACGTCATCGGTAACGTGATTGGACAGAGTTTGCAATAGAGAGAAGCCGAATTCAGAACACCCCTTGGTTAACAATTCTCTAGATTCCATTAAAGGTACCGCCGTTACGTTGTACTGAATGCATGTCGATCGACTTTGGTAGAAGAGACTTGTTAATATTAGAAACGGAAGTTTCATTCTGCAAAGAAAAAAATATACTTTTGTATGTATTAAGCTAGGATTTTTAAGTAATTTAGATTAAATATTAGCGTGATTGAGGCCGAAGTGTGACGTTCAGAGCGTGATTCCACTGACTATCCAAACGCCATTGTCAAACTTCTAGGCTTACAGAAAAGCGACGCTGAACGTCCGACGTACACGTTTTCGCGTTGAAAACTTCTGCCTCAACCTCGCTATTTTAATTCTTTCAAAAGAAACAATGGATGAAAGAAGAGACGATAATAGAAGAGCAAAAGAGTTTACGACATACACGCCGATGTAATCATAGAATTTCGCAATCTCGCTTGTGAAATTCTATGCTTACACCCTAGAATAAATCCTGTAGGGTTCACTTGGGTGACGTCCCCTATAAGATTTATTCTCAAATTTTTTTTGGCTCTCCAGTAGTGGAGTGGACGAAAACACCGGAATTTATTTGATCGCGGGTTCTGGTCTCACCAACGGGGTTCTGGCCACCAAAATTTTCTAAGTTCACTTCAAGTTTCCCCATAGAAAGTATTTCCGGTGCACCCCCTTGTAAGATCGTCCTCGTGTTGCGTTATCTTCCAACAATTCAATCCATGTGATTATTCGCGTGTTTATACACGTGCTAATCTGCACGATAGCGCCCTATTGTTAATTATAATATACAAATTATTATATCAATACATTTCATCAACGCAATCCCAAATATTTGCATTAATGGAAAGGAACAATGGATGATTTTAGATGCATTACAGTCCATTCACACGATGATAAATATTTATAATTAGAATTTGGGTAGCCGAAACCATTATTATAGAAAATTCCGCAATAATTTGTACATCATCCCATTGGATAAATGCAATTAAGAAATCGTTAGATTTTATTGTTAGCGAGTCTATGACAGCCCGTTTCATACGGGATCTGTCATAGACTCTGTATTCATTAAAGCGGTTTTACCAGATAACGTGCTGGGTATATATTTATCAAATCGTCTTTAGAATATCGTAGAAAACTGCTGTATATTATTCTTAAGCATTATTTAAGACTGCTTTCTACCTAAAATCTATTTATATTATTTTATAGAATAAGCAAGCGACGAAGGATTCACGTTGTACAAATATGTCATGCAGTGAAGCGTATTGCGCCTGTAAATTTTAACCTTTCTCCTAAACGGTTGTAAATATTCTTACAATAATAGATTAAATCATCAGAAATGCGAGGCCCGACCGATTGGCATTTGTAGGCCCTCTTTTACAGGTGATCGGCAGAAACTTACAATTAAATGGATAGAATTACATAGCTGTTCTATCCACTAATTGTAAGTTAACTTATATGAGTTGTTTGCCTCCGATTAACAAGCTGGCCACGTGCAATTTTCTGTGTTTTCTTCGCCTAAATTGACCAGTTTCCAATAGAAAGTTCACCCGAGAGGAATCTCTTTGGCAGAATGCCCAAGCGACGAGTTTCCTTCTTCCATCAATTCAATCTATGTGCTTAATCGCGTGTTTACACAAGCGCTAGTCAGTATAACAGCGCGCTAATGTTAAAACATGCAAATAATTATATTAAACACAAAGTTTAAATTGATTTTGCTACATTGTTTACTAACTGGCAAGACAAGTTTCTCTATTATATTCCATTCGTTCCACCTTACACAAGTGACGACCGCGACTAACGTGATTGAAGAAGCGCTAGATTCTATTCAATTTATTATTAAACATTTACATTTTCGTACGAAATTTTTGTAGATTTTCATTTTATTTTTATTAACTTATAACAATTTCATTTATAATTTTTTTCAAATTTTTACTCGATTATTCTCGGCAGCGGAAGGACCCGACTGGTTTCGATTCCGGATCCCTCACCTTCAATTACAGTCATCTGGTCTATAGCAAAGATAAATATCAGTTGTTTTACTCTTTTTTTATCATTGAGCATTTCTCGGAAAGCATTTCTACAGTTAATTAACATAAAATAATCTCTTCCTTTGCAATCTCCTCACGTTTAACGTAAGACATAAAATGGATCCCGCTACGTCCTTGTTGAACAAAAGAAAAAAAAGGAGGAAAAAAAAACTTGATCAATGTGTACTGTAAAATACAGTTTCTACACTTATTTTATTGTTTAAAAATAAATAAAAAAAAGTAATTTTCCACTCCTTGACCCTTTATTTATCTTATTTTTTTAATGAACAATTTGTTCCCTTATCTAATACATGTGTAACAATACTTCTTCTGTGTTCCCCGAAGCAAATTGTAAGCATAATAACTTGTTTAATTTGATTAAATCTTATTAAAATTTAAAAAAAAAAAGTAAATTGGTTTTCTATAAGATTTCTTAAAGATTGGGTTCGTAGTTTCAGCCCGCCAGCAATTGAATGGATAAAACCACCGAACAATGGTCGTGGGTGCTTGTCTGAGCAACGAACTAGTCAAGTGGATTATTCTGAATTTTATTCACGTGTCTAACACCTAAATAGGGACCAAGTTTCCCCATTTAAAAAGTGCTTCCAGGAGGCAAACTGGAAAAGGAATCGGATCGAATCGACGGGACGAGGCAACGCAACACAAGGGCGATCTACCAAAGAGGGTGCCACCCGAGAAGACTATACAAGAAGTTATCCCCTATTTCGATGTGTTACACACGCGAAGATAACCAAAAATTCAAGTGGTGAGGCACGAACCCCGATGATTTCATCCATTCTACTAGTGGACTAAAGGAGAAAATTGTAACACGTGTGCGAATCTAGAACACACAACAATTTACAAGGATGATAAATCGAGTTTTTTTTTTTTTCATAGGAAAATCTGGATTTTTTTTAAAACCGAGTTAATGATTAATGGGACGTCAGAACGGGTAGGAAAGAGACGTCGAACTCTACAAGCTTCCAAGCATTAAGATACAATAAAATAGTAAAAAAACAATTACTCACTTTAGAGCACGGATCTTTAGAGATGGTTAGAGAATAGACTCCATGGAAAATATAAAAAGATCTAACGCAAGTCGGAGGGGCGATGCGGGTACTTAGATTAAAACTTGTCAACCTCGTCACGTTGTCTAATAAATCAGTCGCGTGACAAAACAAGGTTCCACATCTGTTCATTACCTTCAGATTAAGAAAAACAGCGTAAAAAATCTGATCCGAGACGAAAAAACAACACGACAATAGGAAAATTCCAAAGCGAAACTCATCTAAAATTCTGATACGAGTTACTTTTAAGTATCGAAATTAAATTTATTAAAATAATAATTAATAAATTCTTCTCACGTTTTATATCTGTCAAGGTGATTTGCTTTCTAATCTTTAAAGAAATCAATCAAAAAGGCGATATATATATATATTTTTTTTTACCAATCGAAAATGATTTTTCCCATATTTTTCTTCCAGAAAATCCAATCCTCCCTCCGCATCCTTTCTCTTAGCATCCTTGACTCTCACTTTGTATATTTTTGATTGGTATGGATGAAAATAAACTTAAAAATTGTTATTTATTATCTAATAAATCTTTTCATTAAAGATGAATGATATGGAATTTAGATTCAGTTAATTAAAAACGTTACTTTTTGTTCCGTTACGGTGGGTGGAGTTGTTTGGCCTTATTTGTCATTAGCCTTGTCTTAATTTTTACGAGGTCGTCGTATGAAATGTTTCATATTAATATACCCCTTTCGGAGATAAACAATTGTTTTTTTTCGCTGTTTTAATCGAGAAAAAAAAAACATTCGAATTTACGTAACGTAACCGATACGTTACGCTGTAAAATCTTCCAGAAAGTGTAAACTAGAAAGGGATTGTTATCCGTAGATTCGAATGAGAAGACGTTACGCGAGAATGGTAGGAATTGACGATGTCACCGTCCTATTTATGACCTCGTCGTGACCTTGTTTCTGGAGGAAACGGTTGCGTAACATCAATTATAAATCGTTTATCTTTCACCTTCGTTTTTAAATGAATTCCCTATTCGAAATTGTCATTTGGGGAGGTCTCAGTGAGGTCTTCGGACACTAATATTTTAGGATTTATTCGTATTTAAACTCTTCTACGTAACGAGAATCAGTGACGGCGTGTTGCGTTACTAAATTGGACTTTTCTGTTACGTTTACGTCTACAAGTGAGGTGACTAGGATAAATATTACGTAAATCGAAGTGTGACGTGATATAAATTAATAATAAAAGTTACCAATGCGGAGGATACTGCTCAATGTGGTCCCCGTTTCGGAAGTGTAACCTTCGAAATGAAAACTCGAAGACAATGAACTGTGTATTTAATGGGAGACCATAATTGAGCTTCTGTGTTACTTCTCGCAAGTATAAGGCTGCTAAATTTGTAACGTGTCCCGAGAAACCATACTTTTTAAATGTCCCAGGCAATAAAAAATCATAGGGATTAAGATCCAGAGCGCTAAAAGTACCAGAGGGGTGAAATTCTGTACTATTTTTTTTTTATGGCAATGCATTCAACATGTGTTGGAATGTCACCGTAACAAATTTGGTTGCATTTAGAGTGAGGAATATTTCTCTAAATGGCGTTGAATACGAACACTTCTGTAGAATGACATAATTACGAGAGGGTTATCTTGTTTGTAATGACTGATGACGAAGGGAGGATGGAGAATCAAAAAAGGATAGATCTTTTCTGACGTAACATTTAAAAAGCCCCTTTACTCTAATTATCTTTAAGATTTATCACTCCAAATCATGTTTATAAAATAAAAAAATAAATTTATTATAGTAAATTTAAGTTCGAAACACAATAATCCACTTCAAATTCGGAATTTTACATTAGAATTAATGTAAGAATCGACTTAAAATTGCGGCCGTAAAATATAACTTATAACAGATCTCACCCCCTCGATCATATAATGATACATATCAAAATTCGAGGCCCTAAGGCCTATTCATAATACGAGACCTAAAGCTTGTTTAGCTTATCAGGCCCCTTGATAAAATGACAAATATGGAGATAAATTCATATCATTCCTATAAATCTAAGAATATTGACTTGTAATTTATACATTTCCTAAGAATATTTTTAATCGATTTGTTTTTTTGTATTTGTTTCCTTGTTGCAATCCATTTAAAATCGATTTCTATAATTGATTCAATGGCCGATTCGCCTTCAGATCGTAGATTTCTACAGTTATTATTCTTTATATTATAATAATTAGTCGGAATTTTTATTAATAACGTGCAAAAATAAGATTTTCGTAATCATATTTATTAATAATGATGGCTGAATCATGAATATTTCCCCTACAAAATGCCCGAGTTTCCACATCCGTATCTGTAAGAATTTTTGAGGAAATGGGTAGTGAGAGAGCGGATGTGCTGATTTTTCAACATTTACATCTTTATTTCTACGATAATTCGCTTAGTTTATTAAATAACTACTGAAAATCTTGAAATTTTTAAGTAAATTTCATCCATTCGTCTATTGTTTTAACTCATTTTAACAAAAATTTCGACGGTTCTAAACATCAAATCCTCATCATTTGAAGTACCAAAAAAAAAGGTAAATAAATGGATATTCGATTATTTTTTAATATAAATATATTTAGATTCTTCGGACTTGCTGAGGCTCTAAGATGTAACGTATAAAAAGCTCTTCCCTTCCACTAAATGACTATATATTTAAAAATGCCAGGCCCTAAGCTAAGTTAGTAAGTAACGCGTGCCCCTAAGTTGCAGCTTGTTTAGATTAGGAGGAGGGATTTCGTACACATTTTTAATTGTTTATAGAAAATTATATCCATTAATTAATAAGAATTATACCAAAAATCGTTGGTTGTATGTTTTAAAAATTAAATATTTAGTTCTTTATTTAAATTAGTGGAGTGGAGTTCCGCCATCAAAGGCTTTGCGGGACAAGACAACTCAACACGTGGGCAATATGCCAAAAAAAAAGGGTGCCTCCCGAAGGAGTTCTATTGGAAACTGGCTCCTATTTAGGCATTAAACACATAAAGAAAACGGGGTGCTTGTTAGGCATGGCTTATAATGGTTGGTGTGAATCTTTACGATTCATAACACGATATAATAGGGAATTTCCTTAGAAATTTTCATGTATGGTATATAAAGGACAGAGATAACATGCATGTATAGGCTATGCAAGTTGATTCGGAGCTTTATCTATTATTTTGGGCCTGTTATAAACCCTATCTTGGCGTTCATTTCATAGAGAGAAAGGTTGAAAAAGTATACAGTAGACACCCCCATAATACTGTAGATAATTACGTGTTATATGAATTCCATGTTGTACGAGTCACTTAGATTTTACAAATACGTGTGCCGGGCTGTGAACGGTTGACGTATTTGTAAAATCTAAGTGACTCGTACAACATGGAATTCGTATAACACGTAATTATCTACAATGTTATAGGGGGGAGTTTACTGTAATTAAATTAATAAGAAGTTTTATAATGTAGAATTAAATACGAAACAATTAATTAAATCAAATTAAAGATTTTTTTATTTTGTTAGGAAACCGGATGACGTCGCGAATAAATCGTCCAATCAAAATCGTAGTAGTCGGTGACGGAACAGTAGGTAAGACGTGCCTATTGATTTCTTACACCACCAATGCCTTTCCCAAAGAAGAATACGTTCCTACAGTGTAAATATTCCTAAATTTTCTAGAAATAAATACAAATGTTTATATGTTTAATTTTTAAAAATGAATTTCTCAATAGTTTCGATAATTATTCGTGTACCATGTCATGCGACGACGTGACAGTCAGTTTGACTTTGTGGGACACGGCGGGTCAAGAAGCTTACGAACGCCTCAGACCACTTTCGTATTCGGGAGTGAGTAGCTTAACTTTGCATACACCAATTTAAATTATAAATATTTTTTAAAAAAATCAAAAATTTTGCCTTCTAGACGGACGTATTTCTTCTGTGTTTCAGCGTGGATAACATCAACTCCTACGAGAATATATCTACAATGTGGCATCCCGAAATCATCCATTACTGTCCTAGAACACCGTATATTCTAGTCGGTAATTAAGGTTAATTCTAGATTTTTCTTTACTTTTTTTAGATTTATAAAAATATAATATGAATTTTCGAAATTTCTAGGCACAAAAACGGATCTGAGGGAAAATGGCAACGGCTCGAATTTCGTAACAAAATCTATGGGAAGAAAGATGGCCGCTAAAATTAAAGCTGTTAAATATGTCGATTGTTCTGCTAAGTTGCTAGAAGGAGTTACCGAAGTAAATTTTGTTATTTTAATAAAATTAATTTATATATTAATTAATTAACAAGAGACATTATATATATTTTTTTCTTTTTCTTCTTCTTCTTCGTAGGCATTCGAAGAAGCTGTGAGAGCGGTTCTCAATCCCAAATCTTCGTCTCAAATATTTAATTGCCGAATTTTATAAGTCAAAATATTTGTTTGCGGTAGCATATACAATTGTTTAGTTTCTATATTCGCGAATGAGTTCTCGATAATATCATTATTCACCAATTTTATAAGTTGGAACCTTGCTTGAATACTCACTACACCAACTTATTGATCATTGAAAAACCAGAGAATGTACTGTACATGAAGATTAAATGTATCTTCTGTTATTTGCAATTTGAAGTGTTAATAAAATTGTTTTCTTCACGGAAAGTTGTGTAAGAACTACATACTAGATGTTCTTAAGATATTCCCATTAGAACTTTACGGTTAAGGTATCAGATTAAAGCGCTCTGGTGGCTCGGGTTCGATAACGAGCGGTCAAAAAACCCTGAAGTATTTTGGAGGGATAGGCCGTGCTCTTACCCTCATTATCCGGTTGTCCCATTGTGGGTCTAATCCAGTGGTTCTCAACCTTTCTGAAGCCGGGGAACACCATTAATTAATATAGTTTTTATTACACGAAGCATTAGCATCAATATATTCAAAGAAGTTTGACAATGGCGTTTGGAACGTCCACTGACGTTCCAAACGCCATTGTCAAACTTCTAGGCTTACAGGAAGGCGGCGCTGAATGTCCGACGTTCACGTTTTCGCGATAAAAACGTCTGCCGCAACCTCTCTAATAAACTAATAAGCTTTGACGTATTGAATAAAATGAAAACATGGAATTGTCATCCTTTTTTTCGTGGAACACTCGAGGTAGGTTTGCGGAATACTGGTTAAGAACCGTTGACCTAATCCATTATGTGTAAAATTAAAAGGTCATCTTAGTGGCTACCGGGCGAAAAGAGTCAAAAAAGTCTGAACGTTTTCATTTCTTACTACGATAGATAAACTCGGAAAAATAGTTTCAATTCGAAAAGTGGGTCGATACAATTTTTTAAGTTGAAAACGCGATACTCTTTCACTCCGCCGAAATTTTTGACGCGGCTCGCCGCGTCAAAAATTTCGCAATTTAAATAATTTTTACTATTTAGCGCATTAAACGGATTAAACTTTTATTAAATCATCTATTATTTAACCTTGTTTATTCAAAATAAACACGTTCAATTTCAAAATTGAGTAGCCTCGAGTGGGAATCGAACCCAGTACCTTCGTTATATAAATTTATTCGCTTCCAATTTATAACCTTATTTTATACGAAAGTAAAATAATATAGTTACGAATGTAAAATAATATTTATTATAAAAATTAATACATTATAATCCAAAAATTATTCGTAAGCCTATTAGGACTACAAAACACAATTATAGTTTAAAATATTTAAGTATCAATTTTTAATTTATATTTAATAAAATTAACATTAAATTTTATAGACGAGTAATAATAATAATAATAATGTAATTTTAATAAATTTTAAAACGTTTTTGACGCCATGAAAATATTTTGGCTATAAAACAGTTAGAGAATTTGGCAGTTTTGACAAGTTATCGGAGCGGGTAAGTTTGAAATATATTTCCCACGTTATGCTATTTTTGAGTTGTTTTATGCATTTTTAAAGCGAAAAAGGTAGGTTAACCCGAAATTAACATAAAAAAAGAAAAGATTTTAAAGTTTAAATTGTATTTTTAAGAAGAATTAGTGAATAAATGTGACTATAAATAACAATATCATACTTAAATGAGGATATGAATTATGGGTACATTCGGTTTGTTTGCATAATGTACATTATTACGTCAGTTCGACGTCATTCTTGTCGGTATTTTTTAAAAGAAAGTGAGATAATGACGTCGAAGTACACTATTTAGATAAGATTTATATTACTCATGTACTGACAGTTGATTGAAGTTAGTCATTAATTGACACATTAGATCATTTTGGTGTATTTAAATTCAGATTTTATCTCTGCTGAACATCATTGGCACTTTGGGTTGTAGGCCTTCGTTGGAGAAGCGCAAGATGCGGGTTTGTGCCGCTCGACGACAGAGGCGTGTTCCGCGAAATATCGGTTGGTCGTTCTCTAATTTGTCCTGAAAGATTGGCGAGTCTGGTGGCAACTGGTAATTTCCGGAAACTTCATAGGTAATGTTCTTGAACGATGTCTGGTCTTAACGATTGGACTGGGATACATTTCCGAATGGATCTGTAGTTACTATACGTAGGCTATGTGTAATGCGGTGACAAATGTACTGTACAGTATATGTATCTAAACAGAGAAAAGGTATAGTTAGCAGCAAATAGATGAATACTGCTGGATATGCAAACCAATGATATAGTTTGTTTCAAATGAATGAACTATGTTGTCGGTTTGCTTAATTGGCCATACTAAAGTCACTTTACCTGGTGACACGCCCAACATTTTGTCATTTCAGTTAGTAACTTTTATTTATATTAATAGTTAAAGTCAAGCTTGTAGAAAATAACTATATATTAATATTTTCAATTATGTTTTAATTAGCATTAATTATTATAGAAATATTTTTACGCAGACAAATATCAAACGAGTTTGAACTTAGAAAGTTTTGAATGTTATAATAAAAGGTAAAGTTTAAATGAAAATATGTGGCAAGATCTAGTTAAACAGCTCGATAACAGGAAAACTACATTATTTGGCTTTACGGATTGCATTGTGGATGAGAATATAAATGTTAGATGCTTTAGCGATAAGCATAAATTTTGCCAAAGGAAACTAATTGTAATCTGTAATTGACTATGCCAGCTTTATTATACAAGGAAATGCATTTTCGGCTTTCTGTCCCTCTTCAGTACTTTATTACAAATCTTTGACTGTTTATTAATAATCAAAGATATGTGTTCCTTTATATGATTAGTTTTGTTGAGCAAAATTTATGCTTATCACTAAAGCATTACTAGGAGAATTAGGAACAATTAAACAATAACTTTTAGAAATTAAGTTGATAAAACACTTGATATTTTTAGCTTTTTTTTTTGAGGAGGTAAATTTCGCATAATAAAATCATCACATGTTTCAATATTATAAGTTTTGATGGCTAATATTGATTAAGGTTGATTTGTGAACTACAACTGTTACCTTTTTCCAATGTTACATGAGATTAAAACTAATTCTAAACAAATTCTATATTTTAATAAACAAAATAAACATTTGCTTAATTAAAAAATTTAAAAAGAATCTGCAGGAATGACATTTGCTATATTAAACTTAACAGTTTACTTGAAAAATACTAAAAATGTTGCTCATCATGCATTCGTGGAAAGTTGGTTTTATTTGTTCACTTTCATCAAGAATTACTTGCAAATAATTTTGCTTGTCATTTTCACAAATACATTTTTCTGATTTTGATGAATTAAATTTAAATATCTTTCTATAATAAAAATATTTGATAAATTTTCAATAAAATTGTAGAAAGCTTTTGTGTTATCCCTCTTTTTCCTGGTGGATGCATCCAAAGAACGCCACTTTAAAAAAAGTACGGTATAAAATCCCGTAGAAAAATACCTGATAGGATCCATAACTTCAAAGGAACAAAAAATAAGCAATTTAAAAAAGAAACACTAGTTTTTTTTATATATTCTAACTCCATTTATCATTAACATTATTTGTATGTAAATATAGTAAATACAAGATAGCATAGGAAACATAAAATCAACATACGGGATTTTCTGAAATACCAGGGCTGCAGAGTTGGAGTCATCTAGTTTTGGTGTTTTAGCCGGAGTCGGAGTCGTCAAAAAATCCACCGATTCCCTTTTACTTACCAACTTGTTATGTATATGAAACAGAGTTGGAGTCGGTAGATTTTTACACGACTCTGTGAAATACAAATAGTACAGTACTGTGCTTAAAGATAAATGAATTTTTGATTTAGAAACATGCAATCTTAAAATCAATCTTTCAGTAAAAAGAGTAACTGTTTTAACAGCAACACAAACCAATTTAAAACAGAAAAATAATGCAAAGTTAAATTTAAAAATTTTCAACTGAACTGTTTCATTCTTTTAACCTCAAAAATAAGCATGAAAAGAGTTTTCTTTTGTCAGCTGTGTTACTTGAAAATTGCATAAAAAGGTGGATAGGTGTATTTTTCAATAAATAGTATTTTTAGTAAAATAACATTTGTTGATTTTTTGAACTAACAACACACAACACCTGTGTATCTTGTAATTAATGTAAATGTTGATAATTTAATCCATAATTTATATTACAGATTAAAGAAATATTGTGCCAATGTAATTTTTACAAAAGAAATAGTTTATGGAATTTACTCAATGTGTACATTTCTATTTGTAATGATATAAATCTAATTTAAGAGTGTTGAATAAGGAAAAGAAATTATATGCATTCGTGGTGTCCTGTAAGTCTGGAAGCAGGAGTTATGTCAATCTTTGTTTATTCTTTTACGGAGAAAGCATGATGAGGAAAGAACTCGATAATGAAGATATACAGCCAGAGAGAAATCTCGAAAGAGTTTGACAGCATCTTTTCAAACTTTCACTAATTGCAAATAGCAGTCAGGATGAAGCCTGCTAAACTCTTTAGCAACTTCTATCTGAGTACAAGTCTCCATCATCAAAATAATGATTTTGTTTCTCTTTGCTATGCTTTACCCATAAAAGAATAAACAAAGATCAACATAACAGCTATTGTTCTGGACTTACAAGACAAACTGCATATGTTATCTGCAGTAGACTCTCCTTAATTCAAACTCAAATAATTCAAACTGGACACTACTACTTGTCTGATTCCTATTTATGTCAATGTAAAATTCTGTTGGTAATTCAAACTCGATCGTTCCCTCTCCTGTTTGTTCTAATCAAGAGTGCCCATTACTAGATTAATATCTTTTTCTGCTTTTGAATTTAAAATTTAAAACCATTCAGATCAGTTGGCACACAATGGTTTACTCTCCCTGTCATGCTTTCTGATTGTGGCTTCTCATGGACAATACAGAGCCTTTTTGTACTTATCATTGATTAAACTTTAATACCACATGGCAAGCAGAATAATGTGCTATATATAGGCCTATATAACATATTACTTTGTAACATTTAGAAACGGTCTCTTTTTTGTAATTCAAAAATTTCTGACAAATAATACCTCAGACAGTACATTAATATTTAGTTATTTTACCTTTGGCTTGTATAACAGTGTTTGTATGATCATTCATTGTATTAACAAGAGCCAGACATTCATTTGGAGTAATTTCATCTCAAATTTGCTTGTTTTTTTTTTTTTTTTTTGCTTTAAACCATCCATACTTCCTTGAGGACTTTTTCTCAATGCTTTTTTCATTTTACCTTATATAATTTCTATAGGGAAAAGGTTGGGACTATTTGATGGCCATTTTAATGTGTTAATATTATGCTGGGTCAGCCAAAGCTTTGTTGGTTTTAGCAGTATGACAACTTGCATCGTCTTGCTAAAATGTCTGTGATATTGTAATTTTTCTAATGATGGTAATAGGTTTTTCTCATGGATTTGTTGATATTTTGCTGCATTTACTGATACCTCAACAAAATGCAAATTTCCCACGACTTGGGCTGATGTGAAACCCCACACCATAACACTTGCTGGGACTATTACAGTGCATCGTAGACACTCACGACGGATTGCCTCTTCTTGCTGTCTAATGAGCTTATTTCTATTGCCTCTGATGCAGACTTCAAACTTCACTTCATCACTAAAAACAACCTGCTTCCACTACTGTTGTGTCCAGCATTGGTGCTCTTTGGCCCACTTCAATTGGTCTTTTATTTGTGCTTTTATGAGAAGTGATTTTGCTTTTGTCTAAGAAAACAAATTGCATGCACAATTGTTAAGTAAAAAAAAAATTTTTTAACCTGGTAGAAGCTGTAGCCATGTTTGTGCAGATGGATACAAATTTCTTTTATTCCATTCATTCACTAATTCAGAATGATCCTTTCAATTTTTATATTATTATATCATGAAGGTGCTTGTGATCAGTCTTTGTTATAGTTGCTGGTCTTCCAATTGATTTTTCTGGATGAATTTTACCAATTTCCTGATATTTTGAAACAATACCCCATACTGTGGAATTATCAATTTTTAATTCCTTTGCAATTTTCTTAAGGATTCGACCATCTATTGATGATGATAGTTACTTCATGTACATCAACACTTACAGCCTTACCAGGTGCCATTTTCATTAAACAAATACATCTCAATAATATAAATATGGAAAAATATGCAAATATCTTATTTTGGCTCATTTACATATTTAGGAACGGGTCATTTAATGTATTGTCCAAATGACTCTGTCCAAGGTTTTTTTGGTCTCTCATACTTTTTTCCAACTGCTTGTAACTTTTTATGTAAGATCTCCATTTATAATAAAAGTTTTACTAATATAAAATAATTATAAGTGTACAGAATTTTTCTGTTTGACGTTATTGAAGGATAAGCTAGAGATTGATTAAAATAACATGCTATCCGAGGTTATTTTGTTGGCGTTGTGTATATATAAATCTACACTGGATTATTTGAAAAAAAAGGGATGATTTAAAAGTAAAGCTGATTTATTTATACCTAAAATAACATACAGCAACAGTTACGATAAAATCACTCGCCAAATTTCGTATGTGTTACACTTGCATGACGTAAGCACTGTTGGTGATGTGTTGAGTACAAATAAATCAGCTTTGCTTTTGTGCTGTATTTTTTTATTAATTCTATATATTGTGTTTGTGTGAGAAAACATTCAAATACATATGTAATCATCTTTTTGTATGCTAGAACTGTGTGCTCTTCGAATTTCAGAATTTTATTATTACTAAGTTGAAAATTATGTTTATTGGTGGCAGTTTCATCTAAAGATCACGAGCCTTTTGTCATTTTTATACGAAGGCATTAAACCCAAATTGGCTTTTGATGCTGTCGGTTGCAAATAGTTTCATTTGAATCGTATTTAAGTTAATGTAATGTTATAAAAGAAAATCTTTCAAAATTATAATATAATGATTTTTAAAATAATTCCAGGCAATACAAGGTATTAATAGCCATAATAAACGTGAAAAAATGGAAGGTAAAAATCTTTATTCTTTATTTTTATATAATTTTTTTTTTCCTATTATCTATACATTAAAATAAATTTAAATATTTTAGAGGATAAAAAAATAAAAATTTGTATTGTGGGTTTTGAATTGAAAGAGAATGCTGAAGTTAAAGAAGCCCTACAGGTAAATTTATTTAAAAATTTTTTAAAGAAATATTATTACAATAAGCATTTATTGTTATAAAAACTTTTAATAGAATAGTGAATGCATTTAAAACAAAATTATACTTTTATGGAAAAAAACAATACATGTTATAGTTTTGATTCAGAATAATCAGTTTTTTCCTAGAAGCATTTTAAATTTAAAGTTTTTTTTATGTATAATAATGTACAGTACTTTTTATACAGTAATGCCAAATGATTTGCTGGATCTTTACTGGGCTATATTAAGACTAATTAATAATCCAAAACAAAGCAGTTTGTCTAGAGGTAGCTGCCATTTTGTAATAAATTTTAAAAATTATAAATAAATTTTTTAAAATTTTAGTTTAGAATAGGAATACCGAAAGGAAAGAATCAGCTCGAAGCTGGACTCCAACCCACATCTCCCCCTTACCGTATAGTTGCATCGCCGGTTATGTTACCCAAACCTCCATCCAATCTTTGCTTTTGGAATTGTTAAATAATTAATTAATTTTGATGCACCTGTACAGGTCACTTGAATTTCTTTAAGAGTATTCTAGATTAAAATAGAAAAACTATTAAATTTATCACTAGATGGCTACTTCACCATCTACTCAAGCTAAATTGTTTCATTTTGGATTATTAATTAGACGTAATATAATCCATTAAACATCTGGCAGATTGTTTGGCTTCTGTTTACATTTGTTTAATTATTAATTTTTGTGGTATCCATCATAAGCCAGTGAGATTTGTTTTATTTATTTTTGAATTGTTCTCAAACATTTCCATTAATGTCATACAAAATTACCTGATTGATATTTGTCAAATAGTGTTTTATCAGCAACATGTTCTAATATTGTAAAACACCTTAATCAATATATAAACTTTTTTCTTTACAGAAAAACTTTATTTATCTTCACTTAGATTATCTCTCAGTAACTATTTAAGAGCTTAATATGTTAGAATGTGCAAACTTAGTTACCTGTGAAATTATAGGTGTAGGCATGTGGCCACTAGTGCTGTAGATGAAGAATAAACTCATGTAATATGTATATATAATAATATCTAAGTGTTTTTAACATTCAGATGTTTTCCCATACTTATTTGATTTTTTTTCTTTTATATACAAGGTAAGGTGTTCTGCCACCCTCCCCTGGTTTTGCTACTCCATGTAACATTTATTATTATTGATATTCTTAAAATTTATTATTTTACATAATGTGTATTATGTTGAAAATTGTATATTAGTTCTAGCTAGGGTTTCTCCAATGGAATCCAGGATCCCAGTTGTTTTATAACTCAGGAAATTCTTCTCATCCCAGGAAATACCACATATTTCTTAAAATTTCACTTTTTTTTTTATTTTGTGTTAAAGTTGAGGAAATTTTGCAAATAGAAAGTATGATTAACCCATAAGCTGTCAGAATACATTTGTATTTATTAATTTAAGCCTATTTATTAGTTTTTTAAATTTTTGCTTATTATGGCATGTCACAGATTGTCAATAATCAATATGTAGCCTATTTGTGACAAGACTCTGAAAATTCTTTACTTGTCAGAACCTGTAATATCTGGAATAATTGTGCTTATGCTGTCTTAATTTTTAACCATGCCCAGTAGCTTCAATAACTGCATTATGCCAGATTGTGCAAACTGGGCAAGGATACAAACGAGTACGAAATGTGCAAGTAATGAAGTTTTTCTTCATAAACCTGATTATTAAAGCCAAACAAAGTGCCGAATTATCAGGTTACAAGCTCGATGCTGCTATTAAAGTAGCCAAGGTAGACAAATCAAGAATACTAGTTGGCAAAAGAAATACTGTAATGCATCTCAAAAACAAACTAGAAATCTTCCTGGCTACAGGTGAAAAAATACATACCATCTGTCTTCTCTTAAATGTATTAAAGACGATTCCATCCATATCAATTGAATTGGAAAGGTCATTCTCGGTAGCAGGATTTTTCTTTAGTAAAATAAGAATCAAATTGAGTGATCAGAATATTGACCATCTTTGCTTTTTAAAATCTTATTATAAAAATTTACAATAATATTTTGTATTATGTTTTATTTAAATAATGAAAATTACCTTATCACTTAGAAGTTTGATCTAAGTTCTTTTTTTTTTTTTAATTTTCAACTCATTTTTGTTGTAAGCAGTTTCCAACAAACTTTAATAAACTTTTTCTATTTGTGAAAATTTCTACATAACTCAAAAGTAGTTTTTTATACATATTTTACACAGCATTATTATTATTTTGGTGATTGTGGGTTGTATTAAGTTACTTAAAAATGAAAAATAATTTTATCATTTGATTTTAATATTTATTTTATATCTTAAAAATAATTAATTATATCCTGGGATCCCAGAAAACAGTTCACTTTTTTCCTGGAATCCCGGGACAAGCAAAAGACCGGAAATGAGTAACCCTAGTTCTAGCATTTTATAAGTACTTAGCATAATAATTATTACTGAAAATAGACATATGTACGGTACATCATATTTTGCAATGGTTATTAATAGACAGTGGACATTTAGGCCCTTAAAAGTAGTGTTTTAGGCGCCTAAAATAGGCTCTTAAATTGTCTCGTTTAGGCTTTATAAATAAAAAATAGGCGGTCAAAATTTGCACAATGAACAATTAATGTACTTATCAGACAATTTAATTAATTTATTTATTTAACATATGTATTCCAAACAAAAATGCACATATTCAGAATGATGCAAACACAAAAGTAGACAAACAATTATCTTTACATTTTTTATTCACTCTGTTTTTCATAGTTAGCTTCACAATATATTACAAGCACTTTTTCCAAATTTTCAGTAGAAAAGTTGCAACGTTTGTCACTGAGAATTAATATATACGCAGAGAAAGAGCGTTCCACATCTACTGACGATAACGGACAGTATTTCAACCTTGGAAGAAGATGAACTGGGAATTCACTTTCGGTTTTGCTCTTCTTTTATGCCAAAATATCAGCCACAACAAACAAGGACTTTAATCCAGTATTCTTTTGAAGCACTGCATCCAACTTTTTCCTCACTTTTTCTGCAGCAGTACCACAAAGTTTCTGTTTTGCTCTGTTGAGGAGATCAATTTGTTCATATATCAGTTTCCCACTACTTTCAACAGCAGTAATAGTATCTGCAATGAATGTGAAATGAGACTTAATGTACACCAAGTCGTTCTGAACATAAATGTCATTCAAAATTTCCTTGACTTTAGTTACACAAACTGCATCATCCGCTAAAGTGTCCAGAAGTTTCTTTATATCAGAGAAATGTTCACTGTAGTAGTTAACAGCCTTCAGCCAAGTTCCCCAACGAGTGAGAACAGGTTCTGGAGGAAGAGCAACATCTGGGAGCATCTGCCGAAAAGCTTGCACTCTTGATGGGGCTTTAATGAACACTTTCTTGACAGAGGAGATGAGTTTATTCACCTTCTCATATTCTACTCTGATTTGCTCTGCTACCCGATTGAGACCATGGGCCAAGCATGTCACATGGACAAGAGCAGGAAAAAAAATCTTAAGTGTTTTCATGGCAGGAACCATGTATGAAGCAGCATCTGTTACGGCTACAAGAACTTTGTCTTCATCAGGATTAATTATCTTTAGTCCATTGTTCACAAAATGAGCCACTGTTTCATGGTTAGTTTTAGTCAACTGTTTCGTGTAGATCAGGTAAGCTCTGGAGGGCCCATCGGCATCAAGCTTTCCAACAATCAAGTTGGCAACGTAGCGTCCAAGACTGTCCGTTGTTTCATCTACAGAGAACCACAAGTAAGAGTCCTTAAGATTGTCTCTTATCCTGGAAATAACATCTTCGTATGCAGGTTGCACATAATACTTTTGAAGTGTCGACTCTGAAGGAATTTTCTGGTGGCAGTACTTTTCCAAGAAATTTCTAAAATGAGTGTTCTCCAATTTTTAAATGGAATATTTGCTGCTATAATAGCATGACACAAATCAGCACTAAACTCATTTTTCTTTGATGAAGTCTCTGAAGTCTGCGTCAAGAGAGTCTGTTTCATTTTATATTTTCGTTCAGCGTTTGATTTATGCTGAGCACCTTGTGCGTGTTGTGTGAAGTGGCATTTCTTTTCACTGGACACCTACAAAAAATATTAAATTTTATTATTTGTTGTTTTTAAACTACTGTATATTTTATATATATTAACATTATACAGTACAGATAATTTGTAATTTGCAGTAATATTTTAATTTATGAAAATAATTTTTTACTGACCTCTTTATACAGACTTGGCACAGAATAATCTTGCCATCCGACGTGTAATGGGGGAATTCTTGAAGCCGTTGTCGAATTAATGAAGCTTTAGATGTTTTAACTTTTGGCATTTTCACTAAAATTTTATCCACAAGTGAACACTCCAAAGACAAAAATAAAACTGATCTGCAGTAGACTGTCAGGCTGTTATTCTGGCAATTCGGGATTTTATGACTTGGTGACAAAAGACTAGGTGTGGCTAATTGCTGTTTTCAGAGGGTATGGTGGAGGGAGAATTTGTAAAATTTTAACAGCCTTGGAATGTAAGCAGTACAGTATGTTAAGAATCAAAGTAAATCTTTGCGGGAAACGAAACAAAAAATTAAAAACTTTTTGAAAATATGAAAACAGGCTAAACTTTGTTTTAGGCAAAAATAGGCAGTAATGTCAAATTAGGCATTTTTAGGCATTTTAAAATACCATTATTTCGGTCTAAATATTCATGAAAAGTGTTAATACAAAATCTTGGCCATGTACTGTATATGCTAAGGGAAAAAAATAGGCATTTGCCTAAAATCTGCTGTCTAGTTATTAATAATAATAATGTTGTTGTTTTTTTTAATTTATTTTATTAAATTTTTTTTAAAAAGTTGTAATTTTATTATGTAGCATTTTGCTTTTCCTGTTGTCTTCAGTGAAAATGGAACAGAGTTTATAAATGATAACCAGTTTAAAATGATATTTGTACTTAATGAATTTGAAGGTGAAGTTTACGATCATCTGCATAATGCTGGTTGTACAATTCTTGGTCCGACTATAATAATTCAGTCGGCAAAGAACAATTTGGTAAGATACAATTCGATTTTTATATAAATTGTAAATTAAGTTATTGAATGCATTTATTGATGTATATGTTCTTTAAAAATAGGCATTTCCAAGAAATAGCCGTCCACTTTATACAAATTTGATGAAAGACTGTGTGATCTGTTTCAGTGGATTTCGTTCTAAAACAGTTATGGTAATACATTGGTTGTAAATTATTTTAATAGTTTATAAAGTTGTTCTATAATTTATAGAAGACAATGATTTTTTGGAAAAATTCTTAGGTTTTTTTTAAACAAATGATTTAGGTTTTCTGTACATTTTATATGGACAATTTAGTTTTGGTTATTAACTGAATATGATTACCTTACTTGAATGCCAAGTGGATCAATTTTTTACCAATGCCAATTAAGGCATTGGCCTGTCACTTGGGAGGACCCAAGTTGAATCCTAGCTGATGAAAACTTCAGGATTTTTTTGTTTCGTACGGTCTGTCTGTTCCACATATGTTGGATTCTGTTCCTTGGCCTGGCTAAACCCATGATGATCCTGGGGACAGAGTCAAAAAGAAAAAAATTTAAGCCATATTTCTTTGGTGGAACGAAGTTTTTTACTATTGAAGAAAAGTGTAAAGATACCATATTTACTCTAAAAAACAGCACAATTGCAAGATGAAAAAGTACTCTGAGTGAGTATTCTCTAAGTCTGAGTATTTATAGACAGTACTTTCTCATAGTAAGCATCTATGTTTTTGAAGAAGATAAGGCTTATTGTAAACTGTAAAATTACACATTCTTATTGTATGTTGAAATAGTGTGTGAGAGTTGAGTGTTGCATTATAGTTAAATCTGGTAATTTTTTCCACTTTATTATTATTAATTTCATTAATAGTCATACACAATTTCTAAAGAATAGAAATAATAGTCACCTTTGTGGTGTTTGGAGGCTGTAAGGATTTATTACATACTTTTTGGTAGAGTACTGCCACCAGATGTGTTTTATCGGACACACTGCCGATTGAGACAAAATAGATGGTTAAGGCGCGGGGTAAGAGTCACTCCGAAGTCCAGGAATGAGCCTCTCAGGAGGAAGAATGCAGAGTCAGATATAACCAACTTAAGGACATTTATTAACACAAAATGAAAGTTTAAAACAGAATTATAAAATCCGATGTTTGAAAATTTGCCTATCTCTATCTATATAACGAAGGGGATATTCGAACTACGTGACTCATAACATACCAGGTAAACAAGATGTCTTCTCTGCTCTGTTCAGACAGTCGGTCAGTCTCTTGAGCCTGTTTCACTCTCACTCAGTCTATTATTGATGCTTGCTTGTTTTTGAGTTTGTTTTCTCTTGAGCTACTCTTGCTCTGGTGCTTGTCTGCTCTCTCTCTCTCAATCTCTTCTTTTTCTGTTTCTCGTTTTCTGTCTCTGGTCTTTGACTATTTCACTGCCTCTTTCTAACTGCCTTTCTCTGACAGACTGTGTCCCCATCTCCCTTTTCTCTGGTTGGAGCTCTCCTTTTAAACACTTCCAGCATGAGAAAATTTATCATCGGGCGATGATTCATTGGCAGTGTCATCATCATAGCTGAGACAGTGTTTTCTTATTTGGTGATGACATCAAACTTTCATAGAGTCATCACTGAGTTGATGTGACTCATCTTTGCTTTGGGACAGTTTTCAATCATTATTTATTGATTGTTTTGACTAAGTTCCTCATTTAATATGTAAACATTGCCGAAAACAAGGGAGGGAAATGCGATGTTCCCCATTTCTATATATATATATATATTTTTTTTCTTCTTTTATAATTTTAATAATTTAATTGCTCCTTCCTCTCTTCCTTGGCATGTTGTGAGATTTCTGATAAACCATTTTATTCTAATTTGTCTTTTAAAATTGTTTTGAGTTGATATTAAAATTTTGAAAAGGGGGTCCCTAGATTGGTAAAATAGGCAAATTTCCTCCTACAACTTTGGTTGTTATTCAAGATACAGTTAAGGTTTTAACAAAGTTCAAGCAAATACATAAAAGCAAAAAAAGTTGAAATACAGTGATTAAACAAAAATTATTACAAATATCGTAAATAGCAGTTCACAAATACATATATAGAGGTATTTTTGGAGGGGGGAAAATGGTGGTCCTCACAACCTCTAATAGTAAGCATGCACTAATAAACACCTCAGCTATGAGTTAAAGACAGCACGATGTTTATTAGAATAAATACAATATTAAAAATTAGAATAAACAAAGCTTTAATTCAGAGTTTATTTTATAAAATTATCACCAGAATAGATACTTTTTTTAAAATTATAAGTTTTTAATAATAGTTTTTCTCTAAGCATGGAAGATTTTCTTCTGTCTGTATTGTAAATAGTTTAATTTATGTATAGAAAAATTCCAATATAGAGTAGGTTCTCCTTTTTTTTCAGGCTACTGATAATTTGTACATATTGTAAATTAATAATTTATATTTTTTATCTAATCTTTTATCAATTATTGCAGTATTTGCAGTTTCATTTAAGTGTTTCCATAGAAAAATATTGCATAAAAATTGCTATAATATGAACCCAATAAGGTTATTATAAAAAATATGGTCTTTAGAATACACTCAAATGGCATATTGATGCACAATAAGAAGAATGTATACAGAAAATTGTTAACTATATAAAAAGAGTTATTAATGTAATCCTTAAAAATCTTCAAAGTTCATAAAATAATTACACTGCAACAATCTAAAGTACATTTCAAAATTATTCTCATTTTATTAATTGTTAATTTAACACTAGTTTATATATGTAGATTATATTATTTAAAGAAAAGCATTTTTGAATTTTTCAGAATAAAATGGCTACTTTAGTTCATCACATGGGAGGCTGCGTAAAAAAAGAATTTAGTTCTAAGATAACTCATGTTATTGCTAATTCAACACTTGGAGAAAAATATGGGGTAAGTCTGCCTTTAAAGACTATATTAATTAAGTAACTAAATTTTAAAATATTAAACTCTTATAATTTCAGTATGCCGTTAGTCTTGGCACACCAATAATGAAAGAACAATGGATATATGAAATGTGGTCACGGAGAAGAGATTTAAGTAATTTTATAAATGATGAGAACTTGGTAGGTACATGATAATAGTATCTTGTATATTTTTCGAAATACTGTATTTTCCAGCATATATGACAGAAATATTACAGCTCTAAATAAACCAGGAGATATTATTAATGAATTTTAATGTTTTCATTTGCATCTCTGTGATTTGCTTAGGTTTATTGAAATATTTAGGAATTCATTAATAACTAATCTAAACTTCTTCAGATCTGTTTAAAGATTCAAAATAATTTTTTATATTTTAATATTTAAACTATAATAAATTATTTAACTTAAATATATTTTAAATTGTAAATAATAATTTTTCAGATGAAATTAAAATTGCAGCCATTCTGTGGATGTAATATAACGTTTTTGGGATTTAAGAATGATGAGAAACTTCATATGGAAGAACTTGCTGTTCAGAATGGCAAGTAAAATTTTATATAACTTTGTTATATTAAGCATAATAGAAGTTTGTCAATTTGGCAACGAAGGGACCAGAATGGTATTAGATTACTGAATATTTTAGAAAAATTTGGTAAGTTGTATGCAATCTGAATGTCTTCAACATTCAGATTCTGCACAAAGTCAATATTCACAATAAATCTTATGCATATAATATTTTCCAGATGTACTATATATATATATATATGTATATATGGTTTCAAAAACTAAACATGCTCTGAGTATAAGAGACTTTTTTGCTGTGCTCTCTTCACATTGGCATGTGAGGAAAAAATAAACATGTTACTAAATACAAAGCATGTGCTTGCTGTAATAGAGCAATGTTTATTTGGCATAATACAATGTAGACTAAATTGTTTTTAGCATGCCATGTTTCCAAACAAACCAGACTATTATCAGACAGTTCTGGATTATTTGCTGCTCTTCAGAGGATGTTAGATTACGTGATATTCTGGATTATCTGGAGCTTGATTGATGAACTATTAAATTGAAATAGTTAATTCTGGATTCGAGGAATATGATACAAAAAATAATCACTAAAATTAAGCAAACAAAATAACAAGAACTTGGAAATGTTGTTGTTAAATATATCAAATAATTTTGCATTTTGTTGCAGAATGTCAGTACATAATATAGAAATTTGTTAAATTACATACTGATGATTTCTAAGATTTTTTGTAATTTTTTTACTTTCTTAATTATAGCATTTCCTTTCTATTTATAATGATTACAGTTAATTTATAATTTGTTTCTTCTATAAATTACCCTTAAGAATTTTAGAATGAGCACATTATTGACATATAGTGGATTATCACATCAGTGGAATCTGATGACATTTTTTATCTTAATTGTAGTGTTATCATGATTTCAATTCGCAATAATGCTTCATTCTAATATGATATTCAAATATTCATAATTTTAATAATTAAAATGTGGAATATCTTCTGTTAATATGTAAGAAATTGTAAAAATTTGATCAAAGTTAATTTTTTATGAGTAGGTTCTGAAGTACAATAATCTATGAGAACTATTGAAGAAATTTTGTAGGAATCAATAGAATAACTAAAATAAAACATTTGCGAAAATTGGTGCAGATAAGTTTGTTGCTGCAAACTTTTCAGGTTTATTTGATCTATCTACACTTACAGAATATAATAATTTTATAATAGTAATTAAGCAAAATAAAGCTTCAACATATAAAAGCAATAAAATTCTATAACAATATAATAATCGTATATTTATCAAACATCAATATTACATAATACGTACAGTAGACTTTCACTAATCAACCATTCCTTGCATGAAGATGCCAGATGTTCAAATAATATGGCACACTGACATGAAATATTTTATGCACAAATGAAACCCAAATAAATAGAAAAATGTTAGTCATGCCTTACAATTGAGGGTATGCCAGATTAGTGAGACTACTATATATGAGTATCCTAGTATGAAACAGTACTTCTACAACATGGTTTGAAAATTGGGGATATCTCCCATACAACAAGACTTCCAGTTTTGCTCTAACACTATTTTGGAATCCTCTGTACAAAATTTCACACTTTAAGTGTAAACTTTGTTGTTTGATATTTTTTTATTTAAGTAAACACATGTGTCATCTCAAATTTGTCCACGAATTTTAGAATATGAAATTTTCAAATTATTTTTATGCCTTTTTATCAGGTTTACTTCAATGAAAACTGATAGTATAATTTTTTCTTGTCCTACCTTTCCTATGAACTAGGTGTTGTTGCTGTTGCTTTCAAACTTTAACCTTTAACATTGTCACTGTATTTTGTTTTTGTAAATTAACTTTGATCTTTAGTAGTTTATTTAAACATTTTTAGATAAACACTATTAAATTTTTTTTAACTGTAGGTAAGCAATCATTCACAAAATGATAAATGAAATATGACGGTATCTCTGTACTCAAATGCAACCTGCTAGAATAAATTTTCAATAAATAACATACTTTTATTTCATTATCCATAAAAACTTTTTATGATAAAAATAAAAAATATAAAAATATTGCCAATAATGCTGATCAAGGTCAATAAAAAGGCATTATGACAATATTTTGTAAAAAGAAATACCCTCATTCAACTAAAATTAATATTAATGTGTAATAGAGTACTTTTAATTGTGATTTGCAAATTAATTATTGATTGGAAATAAATTATCAATTGCTTTGATAAACATATTTCTATTTCCTTTGTAACGAAAAAGAATACAGTAGAGTGTCGTTTATCCAAAGGTTGGTTATCCGAAAGAATTCCAGTCGGCAAATTTAAATTTTTGCTAGTGCTGTGGCACTGCAATCTTTGCCTATATCTTGGGCTACTCCAATATTTTTTATGTTTGTGTCTGTGTTTTAGCTGGCAGCACTGTCACTTTTGTGTGGTGTTTTTCTGAGGACTGCGTGTCATCCTGAATCGAACGTTTTTGATACTAGTTTCGATTCAGGATGATACTGCGTGTCATCCTGAATCGAACGTTTTTGATATTGAAAAATTTATACTTTAGAAGTTATCTCTTCTAAAGTATAAATTTTTTTGTTTTTATATTTTTCAATATATTTATTTTGTTTGTAAAAAATAAAGAAATAATTTTTAATGATACAATAGCCATGATTATTATTTTAAAAAGTTTATATTAGGCTTAACATCGACGAAAATTCAATGCAAAGCGACATGCAACGGAGAAAAATTTCAACATGGGATAGGTTAATATATTTTTTCGTACATAATCGGTTATCTGAACCCCAGTTCCCAATTGATTTGGAAAAACGACGCTCTACTGTAGTGGATTTCTAATATGCTTCTGTAGAAATGAGAAAATTTAATTGGAAAAATCGGATCTATATTATTGTGACGCCGTCATAACGCCGGGCTGCAAATTTTAATCATCTTTTAATTTAAAAATTCACGTGATTTCCAGTCCAGACCGGAAGTTCGTATATAGTTAATCGGGCCTCCACTGTATTGTGCACGTATTATATAGGGCTTACTTAGTTCGGCATAAATATGATTTATGTCACATTTGACAAGTTCGCACTGTCTATGAGATTGTAATTCTAATCATTATTTTACAATTATATATATATATATATATATATTTAATGCAAATGTATA